GGTGGCCTCCTCAGGCTTTGCAAGGATACCATCAAAATGAAATCTTGTTGCTGAAGGGGAAGGAAAAATACCCTTTATTTTCCCTTCTTTTTCCAAATTATGCTTCATACTAAAGGAAGCCAGGCAAAAAGTTGAGGGAAAGCTGTTGCTCTTCTGTCTTTAGCTGCTGGCCTCAACCTGCTTCTGCTGGAGTGACAGGCCCTGGCCACTTGTGCACCCTCAAGCACATGCCTTCAAGCAGACACCAGCACACCCACACCTTATTGACTTCAAGGGGCAAGGAAAGCACATCTGGAGGAGAGAGGGAAGCCTGTCCTGCTGCAAGCACACGAATGCATGTCACCCTGAACCAGAATCTGTGGGGAACAGGCGCTTCCATGCTACATGGAGCAGCTTCACGGGGACAAGGAGAAGCTTGAGAGTCCCAGCAGTGTGTCTAGTACTGCACACTGGCTCCTGCTTTTTTGTTACAACGAGGCACAGCTCATCTCTCAGAAAACACGCCACAGCAGTATTTTGCCTCCCAGGAAAAGGCAGATGCCGTCAGTGCCTGCTTTGGAGGGGTTCACCCCAGTGTCCCTTCCTCCCGGCCCGCAGTTTCACCCCTTGGTTTTGAGATCTCTGAGATCACTCCTGAGGAACACCAGCCCCTCTTTATCTCTCCACTGGGTTCACGAAGCGTCACGTTTGTCACTGGGCTCCTGCAAGGGCAGGACATCAAAGCTGTGCTGATATCTGCTCCGTTCCCCCTGCACGGCTGCCTTTGGCAGGTTAACCTCCCGCGATCTCCCACGCAAAGTGCAGCTCACTGCAAATTAAGGCAGGAGACACTATTTTTCTTCCTTTTCCAGATGGTCCAGGCTTCAGTGACCATGTGGCCAGGTGCTGGGAATGGAGCTGATGGAGGGACAGGGGTGGAGCTGCAGGAGCCACAGCTGGCCAGCGCTAGCCTAACGCCCTGGCCAGCTTTTTGTAGCTCGGGATGAGTCCCTCCCCTTCTCCTGGAGGGTGCTGGCAGGTGAGCAAGAAGGGTGTTAGCTTTCTCTGCAGGCTCGGGGGGAAGGAGATGCTGTGGAGTCAGAGCCTCTCAGAGCATCGCTGAGCCCTTGGTTTGTTAATGCAGAGGGATGTTGACAGCAGTTTCCCAGAGAGAGGTGTGTGCTCTTCCCTCTGTTAGTTTTAGTTCAGACACAAAAACAGCTGAAGAAACAGCAGAAAGCTTTGGTTTTGGTGTGTCTCCATATGGTCCCAATGTTTAGGAGGCACCTACTGTAATTCCCATGTGGATTCTGATTGCTTGTCCCAAGGGCAAAATTTCATAGAATCATAGAATCCCAGACTGGTTTGGGTGGAAAGGGACATTAAAGCTCATCCAGTTCCAACCCCCCTGCCAGCAGCAGGGACACCTTCCACTAGACCAGGTTGCTCAAAGCCTCATCCAGCCTGGCCTTCAACACTTCCAGGGAGGAGCAGCCACAGCTTCCCTGGGGAACCTGTTCCAGTGTCTCACCACCCTCACAGTGAAGAACTTCTTCGTAATATCTCATCTAAACCTCCCCTCTTTCAGCTTAAACCCATTTCCCCTTGTTTTGTCATTAACTGCCCTTATGAAAAGTCCCTCCCCAGCTTTCTTGTAGTCCCCCTTCAGGTACTGGAAGGAGAAAGAAACCCGAAAGGACACACGTTTAACCTGCAGTGGAGGTGAGCTTTCTGCACAAAGTTCTGCTGGAAAAAGATCAGGAAAGCACGGAGGCAGAACAAGTGGTTGGAAAAGGAGGATGAGGGCAAGGATGCAACTCCTGGAAAGGTCACCCCGAGCCAGCTGCTTGTTTGTGATTTGCAGCATTATGGGGAAAAAAATTACTGGTGTTTATGGAAGGGACTGAACTGTTGGAGGGTGAAACATAACGGCCACCGTGAGAAGACAGCTCTGTGGCTGAAGAGCACAGAACAACTTGCAGCAGCGGTTGTAGCTCTTCTCTAGTGATCCATGGGCAGAAGGTGTTAAAATCTTGTTTGCATTAAACTCTGCCCGTGTTGCCTCCAGCCCAGGAACCCATGCTGGCTTAGGAGACCTCCTGGAATTCCCCAGGATATAAAGAAAGGTTGGGATTTGGCAGATGTCTGGCTAAGGTAAGGCAGTAACAAACCATCTGATGGCCGCTCTTTACTGCTGAGGGTTTTGTGCCACTTTCAACATCATCTCAATATCCTGGTCCTGCGGTGAGTGACACGGCTAAGATGCGCTGGTGAGATCTGGTTTGCTTTCTCCCTCCACAAAGTGTTTGTGCAGCGGAGTTTTATTTTGGGAGAGTTGTTTTTATTTCACATATACACAGAGCTTTGTGCTTTTATCAAATAAGTAGAGAAAAGGTCTATAAAATTCCAAATTACAGCAAAGGCAGTGGAGTTGGGGAGTTTTTCAGCTCCGCCTTCTGTGTGCTGGTCCCAGCTTCACAGGGAGCGTTGCCTAACGCGTTGCAGGTGACATTTCTGTGGGCAAATCAAACCAGCTGAGTTTTATTGATGGATCAGTGCTCCTGGGTCAAAAACTTCTGCTCCAAACCCTCTGACCAGAATCCTGGTTGATAATATGTAAGGAATAAATGAGCTCTGTTAGCAGGGGCATTGTTTGGGGGGATGCTTGGTACTCTGAGGGATAGGAAAATGAGTTGCTGCAGCTGTTATGGGAACATACTGGTATCTAATACCATGCTGGTGCTCTTGATGTTGTAATTTCTCCCCCTGTTCAGTGCTGTTCATAATAATAATTCCTGTCTATCAGCATTCATACTGGGAATCATTTTGTGATGTTCCTGTCTGGGAAGACAGTGTTCAGGGAGATCCGGCTGCTTTTAATTTGCTCTGACAAAAAAAGGGGTTTTTGAAAAATAACCTTCACTTTGAACTGCAGATGACTTCAGCTGCACGTGTACGAGTGGTTGATGGGTTACTCATTGTAACGTAAAAAAAAAAATAACACTTTGGACTAAAGGAGAAGGCTGAAAGAGCTGCTGAAGGCTTCCCGGGCTCCAACTGCTGCCTGAATTGGTAATGATTTGCCTCCCCTGCATTCCCCAGGTCTCATTTTGGCTGCCACCTCTGTAGCCACAATTGATCTGTTTCCTCCATCTCTGGAGAACTTCCCCCAGCAGCCCACATCCCTTCACCTCCCTCTCTGCACTCGTGCACCCACAGAAGTGCTTGTGGATGGGGCCAGGATGGGTTTCTGGCTCCAAGGAAGATGCCCCTGTCCCAGGGTATGCTTCATTTTCATTAAAGAAATCTGATTTCTCTGTTCTCATCAGAAAGGAGGAGTTACTGCCCTGAGATCATGAATCTCTGTGCACCATCACTCCTTGCACCGCACAAACAGCCCCATCTCCAGTTGCTTCAGATAAAAGCCAGAAATCTTTGGGCCCAGCACTGATAAGACTTGATAAATCTACATTTTTTTTTTCCCTTCTCAAAGGCATTTGCAAAATGGAAGGCTGTGATTTATGCCAAACCTGGCAGACATGGGAGAAGGTGTGTCAGTGAAACGTAGTAACTGAAAAACCTTTGGTGCAGGCATTTAAAGGCTCAGGATTTTATGAAATGTCCTCTTGCATCTGCTCGGGTATGACTGTGAGCCATCAAAGTAACAAGGGAATTCCAACTGGTTTATGGGAAAGCTCTGAGAAAAGGTATTGGCCTTCACAGGTCCAAGATAACAGTCCCATCCCTGAATGCTGGAATGAAAAAAGACGAAGGAGGAAAGTTCAGATATGCTTCATAAATATTTCTCCAATATTTCCTGGTTCCTAGTCTGCCCTGTGGTCTCTTGTCTGGGTTAGGGTGGAGGACCATGACTGTGCTTTCTTGATGCTGCTTCATGCACTATTTCCACAAGGAATCATTTTATCTAGCAAAAGAGAGGTCCAGAACGTGAAGGAGCTTTTAGTCCCTGTGCTGTCCATTGCCCCTTAAATTTCTAAAGGCTGTTTTTTCTCCCTAAAAACCGATGAGCTGGGGGCTTCCCAGATTGCTGTCTGTTCTAGCGTAGCTTTGTAGGTGCAAGGAAGAGCCGGGGTTAACCTCAAACACCCTGCATGCACACCCCTGCTACCAGGTATGTCTGTAGTCTCAAACTGCTTGGCTTTCCACCCCTGAAAAACGCTGCCTAAAGCTTTGCCTTGGTTCCTGCTGTCCCAACAGAGTGCCCTGTCAGTCAGCTGTTCTACCA